ATCGTCTCCTTCCAGTGGAACGACATCCAGTTTGGCGAGGAGTCTATGTGGATCCTAATCCCGCACTCCAAGACGGATCAGGACGGCAAGGGCTCATGGATCCCAGTTGCTCCCACAATTGGACCTTACTGCCCAGTCCGTTGCACCCAACGATTTCTGCAACTCGCGGGACACCCTACCACCCCGCATGGACCATTGATCCGTATCTTTGGCACCAGCGACAGGGCAACCCCTCAAGACAGTGCTCCGTCTTACACAACCATCCGAAACTGGTGCCTCGAAGCCTTCGCCAAGGCTGGGCTCGACAACAGACACCTCGGCACCCACTCTTTCTGCAAGGGCGCCGCAACTGCGGCAGCTAACTTGGGGATCCCCGACCGGCTCTTCAAACGACTCGGTCGCTGGCGCAGCGATACGGCCAAAGATCTCTACGTCACCATTGCGCACGACCAGCTCCTTGCGGCGTCCACGCGCATCCAAGACGCTTCCACCGCTCCATCGTCCAGTCACCACCAGTTGTCTATCGAGCGACATCGCGAGCCCCTGCTACACATGCCTCAGAAGACCCATATGAAATGAAGCACGCTGCCTTTGCCAAGATGACCCAAGCAAGCTTTCACAATATGTAATTTTTTGAAAGCGTGTAACGCTTTGTAAAAATGTGTATTGTGAAAGTTTAGCAAGGGCCAACGCAGCAAGGACAGCGTCGAAGCGCTACTCACCCTCTTTTGCCTACAAAAGAGGGACGTGAGGCCATTCGACCTCACCCACGTTCTTCATTTCTAGTTCCAGTTTCGTTTTCCCCACCCACCCACCCTATTTGTAGGTGCAGTCTATTGGACGAGAACCATATACGCAAATCCATATGAAATGAAGCACGCTGCCTTAGCCAAGATGACCCAAGCAAGCTTTCACAATCCGCCTTCAGAGGAGTAGAATCGCTAAGTCTGAAAGTTCAGAGGAACATGTATACAGTTCCTGGAAAATCAAAGGAACTAAAATAAACTCTATAGAGCATCAGAAGTTTGATTTTTGGATGTCTAAAAAATCAGATGATTGCCTAGAAGGTTTTATGAAAACCAGACAAACTGACGGATTTTATCTGCAATCGAGGACCCTGGTGGGGGGTGTACAAGTGCTGAGTATGATTATGATGCTATTGCTAAGGGATTAGGCTCTAGTAGGACGGTAAAGCTTTTGTGCACTTCGACAGGTGGTGGCTCATGCACTTAGAGCGTGTTCTTACCAGCCACTTCCCAGGCTATCCTCTTCCCAAAATCGGCCCTAGCCTGAGAGCTTGCTCGAAGAATCGTTTTTCCAGATAGTTCGTTTTAGAACCCCGTACTTCACCGCAATGAATCAGCTCTCGACAAAATCACAGTGTACAGATTGGCGCACATCTGAATTTTTGGCGCCTGAAACGAGATTTATAAACAAGCCTTGAATCTTGACAAATCCCAATCTCTTGTGCACCACGCGGAACCGCACTTCACTGTTTCGCGTCAAAATTACGCGACACTGTGGCGCGCGAGTCTGGGAAGAGGTTGGCTGGGACGAGGCCGCAGGAACATGCTCTTACTGTGGAGGCTTTAAGAGTATAGTGCTAGTAAAAACAAATGACAGGAGGAATGCTCTTGGTCGCTTGTAACGAAGCCTTTTGGTCTCGCGCAAGGACCATGGTCCACCCTAGGACAGATTGCCAACGAGCCTGCAGTTCAGGAGGCATGGAGTAGAACACGCCAGCAGCAGCGCCAGTGGTGACCATCGGTCTGCCTCATGTCCGCGGCAACGTCTTTCCTGCCTGTGCTGCCGTGGCACGCGCAGCGCGCGACTCAGCCGCTCCGCCATTCGCCATTGCCATCTGCCCCGCGCCTTCCACCCGCGCCACCCCTCCGCCCCGTCGTCGTTGCCAGGGCCGTCGACCCGCTGCCGCGCGCTGCATGCGGCGACCAGCCACCCGCCGCACGGCCCGTCCGCGCTGCCACTGACGGCGCGCACCGCCGCTGCCAGCTCGTCCATCTTCCGTCGCGCGTTGCGCGCTCCCTCGACTGGGCCGCCAGCCTCCCATCCCTCCTCGCCGGGCCCGCCTCCGCCGCGCTCCTACTGGCGCTCGTCGCGCAGGGCCTCGCGCTGCCGCCCGCTGCCGCCGTTGCCGCCGCCGCCGCTGGAATGCCGGCGGAAACGGCGGAAGCAGCGGCGGTGAGGGAGGCGGGCATGGAGGCGCGGGGAATGCACGCTTGCTCCGCGGATGGCGGGGAGGGGCAAGCGGCAGAGCGATGGTGCGCGCATGTGGCAGCGAGCGACACGAGTACCACAGGCGCAGCGACGGCGGGAGTGAGGAGCGGCGGAGAGCGGTTTGGTCTGGGGGAACGGCTGAGGAGCAGATACGTGCTGCTGAGGCACGGGCGGAGCATGGCGAACGAGCGAGGGCTCATCGTGAGCAGCCTGGTGCGACCCCACCCCTCCACGCCTGCTCGCCATGGCATGCCGCCCTGCTCGCAACGGCGCCCCGCTCGCTCGTCGCCCTCCCTCCGCCAATCTCTTATGTGGCGCCGCGCCTGCTGCTACCCCCCTGTCCCGCCCGCCCCTGCTCTCGTCCCTCGTCCGCTGCCGTTCGTGCAAGCCTCCAACGCCTCAGAATCCACGGCTGTCGCAGCTTGCGTGCCATCGTCTCCGTCTGTCACCGCTGCCTATGCCCTCCGCCCAATCGTCTCCCCAAACCACCCCCCCTCCCCCTCCCCCTTGGTGTTGCCCAGGCCAATGGCGTGTCGACGGAGTTTGGGTTGGCTCCTGAGGGCAGGCAGCAGGCACAGAGAGCAGGGCGGCTGCTGGGGGAGGTAGGGCTGGCAGGCAGCTGGGGGGGTTAGGGCTGGCAGGCAGGCGCGGAGGTAGGGTGGGCATTGTATTTGCACGCAAAGGCATGAATGATCTCTTCAGATCAGGATGCAAGCGCGGTATGTGAAGCACGCACACAGTGACGCGTTCGTCCTTCTCATCACACTCATGCTTATCCCACCCTTGCTTGCCCTCGCCCTCGTTTCTGTCACAGCTGCTGGAGAAGCAGGGTGTGTCAGTGCAGGATGTGATTATATTGGCGTCTCCCTTCAGCCGCACGCAGCAGACAGCAGCAGAAGTGGCCAGGGTGCTGGGAATCGACGTCCAGGGCACGCGCTTCCAGGTCAGCTTGCCTCCACATGTCTTCCTCCCCTCCCCCCACCTCCCCCAGTCCTCCATATCTCTTCCTTGCCGTCTTCCCGTCCTTTTACGCTTGCAGCATCCCCCGTGCCATCAGCTGTCACTGTCACCATGCCCGTCCATGTTTCCCTTGTGCTTGCTGCTGTTGGCACTGCCCTCTCTCTCATTCCCTTCCTCCGTGCTGCCCTCGCTCTCATTCCCTTCCTCCGTGCTGCCCTCGCTCTCATTCCCTTCCTCGCTGTGCTGGCGGCATGCAGACTGCAGAGGAGCTGAGGGAGCGTTACTTCGGCCAGCGCCTGGAGCTCAACTCGCATGATCTTGTGTGTCCCTCTTGCGCGCGCGCACACACACACACCCACCCACCCAGCCACGCACGCACGCATGCACGCACACACACACACACACACACACACACACACACACACACACACACACACACACACACAACACACACACACACACACACGCGCGCGCGCGCACACACACGCACGCACACACGCATGCACGCACGCACACGCACACACATACAGGCCCGTGCACGCGCGCACACATGCTCACACACACTTGGAGTCAGAACACACGCACACCCACGAGCACACAAGCATACCCGCATGTGCATGCACACAAGCAGTCTCTGTGCATGATGTACACCACCTTGCCATGCCATGCGCTATCATTACTCCTTGCATGTGCCATGCGTTCCAGCCCTGTCGTCACCCCCTCCCCTGTCCTCCCCCTCCTTCTGCGGCAGTACCCGGCAGTGTGGGTGGACGACAGGCGCGACGCAGGGTTTGCTCCGGGTGGCGACGGGGAGAGTGTGCTGGCCGTGGCGCACAGAGTGGCGCGCCTCATTCAGCGCGTTGAGGAGGACGTGGACGGGTGAGTGCGTGTGCACGCATGGATAGCATGCCTGCACAGGGACCAGTGAGTGGCACGAACTGCCTCATCTGAACAGCTCTGCTGCTCAAGAGGATGGTGAACATGTGTGTTTGCCCATCCTCTGGCTGATATTTTTTTTTGTTATTTTTTGGCAGGAAAGTGATCTTACTGGTGAGTCATGGTGACACTCTACAGATTGTCAACTCTCTTCTCTTCTCCTGCAACTTACTACCGTCGTCATTTATCCTACCTGAAGGGATTCTGGAATCTTCACCAGTTCCGGATCCCACCGTTCACATGCCTCTGCATAGGTTGTTCGCCTTTCAAACGGGGGAATTAAGGCCCCTGAATATCTAGGACGTGACGTGTTACGGTACTCCTCATGGGGTCTGAGCAGCGTTGCAATATACACCGTGGCGTTTTGAGAATGTAAACACATTCCGAATCTATTGTAAGCAGGCATGTACACTACAGTTGTAGTTAGTAAAACCATCAACAAGGTCCAGAGATTTTTTTCTTAGTGGTTGCTCTGGGTCAGCCGCCTTCCTGACCTGCGTTTTCTGGTAATGCCGAGCCTCCCTGCCAGCCGCCGAAGCTCTTCCATCAATCATGACAGCGAGCGCCAGCCAACGCGGGAGCGCGGGGGACCCCCGAACCAGCTTAAACGCGTTCGGAGACGAGATTGCGCAATTGGACGGAAATCGAGTTGGGTTCAAAACGTTCGACCCTTTTTGCCGAGCGATGTATGCTTTTGCCGGCTGAGCCAAAACGGTCAGCCCCCAATGTATTTACATTTTCATATTGATTCAAAGAAAATAGCTGTGGCAATTCGGATGTGTTGGTAAATATTTCGGATATGCACAGAGTGTGGAGCACGCCGTCATGAACAGTTGTTAAACATGCCATTACAGTACAGTTTCGAAAATGAATCTCCCCCAAATAACCAGTTACGAAAAGGAATCACCAGTTGCAAATTCGGCCAGTAAGGAATCTAAAGGCTTTCACTGTTGATACATAATACCCTTAATTAAATATTTTCTATGACTACAGAGTGCCTTACAACAGATAAAGCCCATACGGATCCAAGAAAAATACTCGTTAACATGAAGACTCATTTCCGAAAGTTGGACGGATTTGGAAAAACAATCGCTCTGTTAAAAATAAAATCTTTGTACAAACACCTTGAAGCTCTCTACATTTAGGGTAATTAGTTTGTTACGGCAGGCCTGCATATTTTTTGTCGTTATGCAGGCCTCACCTCGCGAGGTTTCACGAGGTCTGGCGAGATCTCATGCGTCGGTAAATGCGGAGGGTTGGGGTGTACACCTTGAGCCTGATAGAGGAGCACAACTTTTCAGAGTGCCGGTAGAAAAAAAACGCGCATGGGGTTTCGCACGGCATCGTCACGGGCATGTGGGTCTTTCGCAAAGACACAAAGGTTACAATTTTGAAGTTTTGCGGGGTATGTTTGAGTGGCTCATTTTGGCAAGCCATTGTTTACGGACTTACCCTGTGTTAAGTTTCGGCGCTTTCAAGCGAGAGTGAGTTTCTCTGGTGTGACACCACAGTGGTGGTTGGCATGTGAGATGTTGAGTGAGTTTCTATGGTTTGGTTTGCTCCTTTTTAACTTAATAAAATATGGCGAAGGGTTTGGAGTCGCTTTTCAGTTCCAAATATTAAGGGCGTGTTCTCAAGATTTCTTACATTACAAATTGAAGTTTCGTCTCGTAACAATAACTGCTGCGTAGAGAGTGGAATTTTTTTTTATTAGTCTCTTCTTGGGTTGGCTGTCGGATGTTGAGAACGATCCATGGCATCGGGCCATCGCGACTCCATTTCGCTGCCAAGTTAGCGTTCGGTTTCATGCGGCGATGCTCAAGCCACAAATAAACCCGGCGAGGCGTACGCACATTTGCGAGCTCAATGAAAGGCTCGCTGAGATTCGCTGGAGAAAACAGGTACGGCGCACATCTTTCGTCTTGTGCCGCATGTTTGCCACCGCTATCATGAAGACGCTGCACTGCTGTCTCTGTTCACGGCCCATATTGAGTGAGTTGTTCCCCGTGTGTCAACGCTAACGGGCGGTGGTTTCTGATTGGGCCACGTATTGCGCTAAGCGTCCGGTGTGCTCCAGGTGTACAAATGGCGCGTGGAGGTCGAAATGTTTGCGTCATAACTGCGTATCTCATATTCGTCCTTATCCTAATTTCGGCCACTACTAGGGCTGCCCAAGACTCTTGCACAAAAAACGTAAGCACTTCTGAATATCTACACCCAAGGAGAAACAAGGCAGGGGGTCGACCGTTTTGGCTTGAGGGACGAAACCATACATCGCGCGGCAAAAAGGGTCGACCGGTTTGAGCCCAACTCGTTTCCCGTCGAAGCGCGCAATATCGCCGCGTTCGGTTCTCTGAAGCCATCACCACAACGCGTACGACCGCAGCGGAAGCAGCGCGAACCCGTCTGACCGTCCGACACCGCCTTGTGCCTCGTTGTGCGCCAGACGATTGTCGTCTGCCAACTTCGAAAAATCGCGCGCGATACGCGCACCCTCCGCGTGCCAGCTCGAGTCCCGCGCGGCCCCCACAGCGTCCCACCCCAACCAGGTCTTCCCTTGCACCCTCCCCAAGCCATCTTCCGCAACGCTGCTTGCTTGTGCTGTCAGTCAGTCTCCCCTCCCTTCCCTCCCTAACATCATCAGAAAGCGACCAGCTACGTTTTAAAAAAAACAGGGCGGCAGTAAATGCGACCGTTGACAGTGAGTTAGAATGTTCTCTTAGGCTCTAAGCGCACTACGTACGCGTTATGGAGAATTCTCCTAGTCGGAGCCAATGGCTGGCGGCGGTGTGCCCGAAGCTGGGCGCGACGGCGCTAGTGCGGTTGGCGGCGGTGCTGCTGGTGCTACCGGCTCTGGCGATCCTGAGCGTCGTGGATCCCGAGGTGGCCAAGCCGGCGTGGGACGACGGCGTGGTGGACGGCGTGGACGCGGACCTGTTCCGGCGCGCCATGGTGCAGGTCACCGACGCGCACCTCGCGGAGCCCCGTGGCAAGATCGCTTTCCTCTTCCTCGTGCGCGGCCCGCTGCCGCTCGAAGAAGTCTGGCAGCGATTCTTCCAGGTGAATCCATTCTTCCAGGTGACTCCGCTCCTGCAGGTGACTCCGCTCCTGCAGGTGACTCCGCTCCTCCAGGTGACTCCATTCTTCCCGGTGACTCGGCACTCGCTGCCGTGTCCTGCACGCTAACTTCCACTCCTAAGGGCGTGCCGCATTGCCGTGCGTCGCCCTCCCCGACCCTCGCGCTTGTCCCGTTCCTTTCTTAACTCCGTTCAACGCCGTTAGCGTTCCGCGACTCTCGTTCACGACGACACCCCCACAGCCCCCCTCTACCCGCCAACCAGCCACCGTGGGTCCGTGCCGCCACGCCCCTGCTCTGCGCGCTTCACCCCCCCCCTTGCAGCGCCACGAGGCGATGTTCTCGGTGTGCATCCACGCGTCGCCTTGAGTCAACTCAAAACACTCCTGCCCGTGCGCGCTCCATCACCCCCTGCCCGTGCGCGTGTCATCCTCCTTTCCCACCCCCCCTCCCCCCCCTCCTCCCCCCCCACAGGGCCACGAGGCACTGTTCTCGGTGTACATCCACGCGTCGCAGCCCGGCTTTGACTGCGACCAGGAAGTCCGCTACCCCGCCTTCCGCGCGCGCCAGATCCCCAGCGTGCCGGTGAGGCGAGATTCGCACATGGCGGTGAGGCGAGATTCGCACATGGCGGTGAGGCGAGATTCCCACATGGCGGTGAGGCGAGATTCGCACATGGCGGTGAGGCGAGATTCGCACATGGCGGTGAGGCGAGATTCCCACATGGTTGTGAGGCGAGATTCGCACATGGCGGTGAGGCGAGATTCGCACATGGCGGTGAGGCGAGATTCCCACATGGCGGTGAGGCGAGATTCCCACATGGCGGTGAGGCGAGATTCCCACATGGCGGTGAGGCGAGATTCCCACATGGCGGTGAGGCGAGATTCGCACATGGCGGTGAGGCGAGATTCCCACATGGCGGTGAGGCGAGATTCCCACATGGCGGTGAGGCGAGATTCCCACATGGCGGTGAGGCGAGATTCCCACATGGCGGTGAGGCGAGATTCCCACATGGCGGTGAGGCGAGATTCGCACATGGCGGTGAGGCGAGATTCGCACATGGCGGTGAGGCGAGATTCCCACATGGCGGTGAGGCGAGATTCGCACATGGCGGTGAGGCGAGATTCGCACATGGCGGTGAGGCGAGATTCCCACATGGCGGTGAGGCGAGATTCCCACATGGCGGTGAGGCGAGATTCGCACATGGCGGTGAGGCGAGATTCGCACATGGCGGTGAGGCGAGATTCCCACATGGCGGTGAGGCGAGATTCCCACATGGCGGTGAGGCGAGATTCGCACATGGCGGTGAGGCGAGATTCGCACATGGCGGTGAGGCGAGATTCCCACATGGCGGTGAGGCGAGACATGGCGGTGAGGCGAGATTCGCACATGGCGGTGAGGCGAGATTCGCACATGGCAGTGAGGCGAGATTCCCACATGGCGGTGAGGCGAGATTCCCACATGGCGGTGAGGCGAGATTCCCACATGGCGGTGAGGCGAGATTCCCACATGGCGGTGAGGCGAGATTCGCACATGGCGGTGAGGCGAGATTCGCACATGGCGTTGAGGCGAGATTCGCACATGGCGGTGAGGCGAGATTCGCACATGGCGGTGAGGCGAGATTCCCACATGGCGGTGAGGCGAGATTCCCACATGGCGGTGAGGCGAGATTCCCACATGGCGGTGAGGCGAGATTCGCACATGGCGGTGAGGCGAGATTCGCACATGGCGGTGAGGCGAGATTCGCACATGGCGGTGAGGCGAGATTCCCACATGGCGGTGAGGCGAGATTCGCACATGGCGGTGAGGCGAGATTCGCACATGGCGGTGAGGCGAGATTCCCACATGGCGGTGAGGCGAGATTCGCACATGGCGGTGAGGCGAGATTCGCACATGGCGGTGAGGCGAGATTCGCACATGGCGGTGAGGCGAGATTCGCACATGGCGGTGAGGCGAGATTCCCACATGGCGGTGAGGCGAGATTCGCACATGGCGGTGAGGCGAGATTCGCACATGGCGGTGAGGCGAGATTCCCACATGGCGGTGAGGCGAGATTCGCACATGGCGGTGAGGCGAGATTCGCACATGGCGGTGAGGCGAGATTCCCACATGGCGGTGAGGCGAGATTCGCACATGGCGGTGAGGCGAGATTCCCACATGGCGGTGAGGCGAGATTCCCACATGGCGGTGAGGCGAGATTCCCACATGGCGGTGAGGCGAGATTCCCACATGGCGGTGAGGCGAGACTCCCACATGGCGGTGAGGCGAGACTCCCACATGGCGGTGAGGCGAGATTCCCATGTGCCGGTGGGGCTGTGGTTGAGCGTTGGGCCGAGCAACACGTGTCGTGGCCCATGGTAGCTGCTGCCGACTGCTGCGAGGTGCCTCAGGAGATTGGGAGAGCACAGTGCGCTGCACCGTGTGCGGATGTGTGCTGACGTGTGCTGTCGTGTGCTGACGTGTGCTGCACCGTGTGCTGACGTGTGCTCAAGTCCGCCCTTTCCTGCCCATTCCCTGGCCGTGCCCGTGGCGTCACGTGCAGATCTCGTGGGGGGGGCCCAACCTGATTCGCGCGGAGAGGCGGCTGCTGGCGGCGGCGCTGGCGGACCCGTGGAACCAACGCTTCGTGCTGCTCTCAGAATCGTAGGGCTCTAGGAATCGTAGGGCTCTTGGAATCGTAGGGCTCTCGGAATCGTAGGGCTCTAGGAATCGTAGGGCTCTTGGAATCGTAGGGCTCTCGGAATTGTAGGGCTCTTGGAATCGTAGGGCTGTCGCTCGCTGCTACACAGCACGTGGTGTGGTGCACGCTCGTTGCCATCACCTGCGGGCACTTCCCTCTTGATGGATTCTGTGCGGGCACTTCCCTCTTGATGGATTCTGTGCGGGCACTTCCCTCTTGATGGATTCTGTGCGCGCACTTCCCTCTTGATGGATTCTGTGCGGGCACGCCTTGCTGCATCGCCTCGCTCATTCCGTCATTCCCCGCACATTCCACCAACCCTCCACCTCCCACTCCCCTATCCGCCCCTCCGTTTCCCCGTGGGCGCACTGCTTGGCAGGTGCCTGCCGCTGTTCAACTTCTCGCACGTGTACGACTACCTCTTCGCCTCGCCCAAGAGCTTCATCACCAGGTGCAGCTTGTGCCCCCTGCCCTCAATCTCGCCTTCCATGCGTTGACAGCTGCACCACCAGGTAGCGCACCAGGTGCATCACCACCTGCCCTTCATCTCGCCTGCCGTGCTCACTGCCCTCCATCTCTCCCCTCTCCCTCTCCCCCCTCCCCTCCCCCGGTTCGCGCATTGGGCGTGCAGCCATCCGAGCGCGTGGCGGTACGAGCCGGGCATGGCGCCCGCTGTCAACCGCAGCCAGTACCGCAAGGGCTCCCAGGTGAGGGAGGTGTGAGGCTCCCAGGTGAGGGAGGTGTGAGGCTCCCAGGCGAGGGAGGTGTAAGCTTTGTCACACACCAGCTCTCCTCACGACACGAGCTATCCTCACAGCACGTGCACTGCACTGCTGAGATGGCTCTGATGCCGCTTCCCTCTGTCACACATTCACACTCTTTCCTGCTTGTGTCTGCAACTGTGTTTGATCGCGTTTGACTGCGTGCAACTGTGTGTCCTGCCACTGTGTGTGCGTGCGTGAATTGCCCCCACCCGGGCGTGCAGTGGTTCGCCTTGACTCGCCGCCATGCCGACATGGTGGTGGCTGACACCCGCGTGTACGACGCCTTTCTGCAGAACCACGCCATGGTCAGCCAGCCATGCACCCATCCCCCTGCATGCCCCTCATGCTCCTGCTACATTCCGTGCCTCTCACACCTCAGCACTCCGTTCCCTGTGCTCTGTCTCTCGCACCTTGCTTGCTCTATACGGCCGCCATGCCTGCCTCTCTGTCTCCTGCCGCTCTGCCTCTGCCACTTCCTCGCCCACCGTCCTCAGTGCTGCTGGGCTTGCTGTCCTTCCTGGGCTATGCTTGCCTTTCTCAAGCGGTCATCCTGCTCCTCCTACCCCCTCCCTCACCTCCGCTGCAGATTCCTGACGAGAGCTACATCCAAACCTTGCTCCTGGTGCGCTGCTACCTCCCCACACACTCCTCTCCATTGCTCTCCTTGCGCTTGCTCTCGCTTCCCTCTCTCGCTCACTCCGCTGTGTGCCTCCTTCTACCCGAGCGGCCACTTTGTCTCGCCCACCACTGCCTCTCTGCCCCTGCCATGTGCCCCCCCCTTCCCACTGTGCCCTCACCTGCCGCCCGCCCTCTGCCATCTGCCCCCTAACCCAGATGCTGGAGCCGAGTGCAGTGGAGCCGCGCGGAGTGACGTTTCTGCACTGGCAGTCGGCGTTCTCGAAGCACCCGCTCACCATCACGCCGGCGCAACTCACCCCCGACTTCCTGCGCTCCATCCAGCGCACGCGCCTGCCGCCCAAGGAGGCCATCGGCTTCCTCAGGGTACCGCCCGCGCGCCTCTGCACACTGGCGGGGCGCCCCGCGCACTGCTTCCTCTTCGCGCGCAAGTTCAACGCGTCCGCCATCCCAACCTTCCTCGCGCTCTCCGACTCCGTTGGCTTCTAGGCGTCTCATCACCCGATGCCTTCATCTCATCTTTCAGGCGCCTCACAAGTCAACGCCTCCGCCATCCCTGGCTTCCTCGCCCTCTCCCATGCTGTCGGCTTCGAACCTTCTAGTCACCCGATGCCTTGACCTAATTCCCGTCCCTCGCGGCCTCCAATCGCTGCAGCTTCTCCACCATTCCAGCTGCTTTCTGCCACCGTGCCCGCCGCTCTCCTGTAATATATGTCCAGCAACTCCCCTAGGTAATTGTGCACGCGCTTGGCAAATTGGAGCGGATTGATACAGAGTGGCCTGGGGTGGGGAGATGGCACTGCACGTGTTTAATGCAGCACGGACTGCACCCACTAGAATGGTACAACAATAACACCAACAGCACTTGTTGGAGCGGAATTCAGACACCGGTAGTGCGGCGCAATGTGCCTGATAGGCCTGGATAGGCTGTCCATTGTATACTTGCCATTATAAGCAGTGATTTGAAGGCTCCTTGTTCCTAGTAATGTACACTGCTACCCTACATTGATTGTCTGTCGAGAGCAAACTTTCCATTATAAGCAAGAGATGGAATGCAGGTCGTGTGGCAGGCACTGCTGGAGTGGAGCTCAGCACAGCTGTGGTCGCTGGGGCAGCTGGGGCACATTCATATTGAGTGGGCTGGGCTCCGCAGTGCTGGGCTGAGAATATGTCAAACATATCCTTGTATGTTGTTATAGACTACACAGGGTTGTGCCTTAGAGAGTACAACCCACTAGGTTATATTCCATTGTATGCCATGGTTCTACTCATTCGTTAACTTTGATATGGTATCATGAATAGGTTAGGTCCCCCCCGCCCACCAGCGCTTCCGCCATAGGTCCTAGCCGCCCCGTCGCCCTCCCGCCCGTGCTAGCCCGTCCCCTAGTTGCCCCCGTCACCTAGCGCCTAGCTGGCCCCGTCGCCCAGCCGGCCCCTTCACCTAGCCGGCCTCGTAGCCTAGCCGGCCCCGTTGCCTAGCCGGCCCCGTTGCCTAGCTGGCACCGTCACCTAGCCTGCCCCGTCGCCTAGCCGGCCCCGTCGCCTAGCCGGCCCCGTCGCCTAGCCGCCCCCGTCGCCTAGCCGGCCCCGTCGCCTAGCCGGCCCTGTCGCCTAGCCGAACCCGTCGCTCAGCCGGCCCCATTGCGTAGTCGGCCCCGTCGCCTAGCCGGCACCGTCACCTAACCGGCCCCGTCGCCCAGCCGGCCCCGTCGCCCAGCCGGCCCCGACGTCTCGCCGGCCCCGTCGCCCAGCCGGCCCAGCCGCCTAGCTGGCCCCGTTGCCTCGCCGCCCGCGGCCCCGTCTCCTAGCCGCCACGCGGCCCCTATTGATCAGCCGCCTTGCGGCCTCGCCGCCCAGCCTCCTCGCAGCCTCGTCCTCAGCTGCCCCTTCGGCTCCCGCCTCGCTTCATCGGCCATTTCCACCGCACTGCACCGCGCTTCACCGCACTACACCGCACTGCACCGAACTGCACTGCACTGTACCGCACTGCACCGCACTACACCGCCCTGCACTGGGCTCGGCGGAGGTAATGGAGGCGGGGGTGGAGGCGGTACTGGAGGTGGTTCGCCTGCTGGTAGTCCTAACGAGGGGGCTGGGGCTGGTGCCTTGGAGCAGCAGCCCAAGCAGCAGCAGCAACAGCAGGCGCCGCAGCTGGACCAGCAGCAGCAGCAACCGGGACGGGTCGGTCGTCTCCCGCCCGGGTGGCCTAGCGCCGGTGGTGGAGGTGGTCACAGTGGTCGTGCGCGCAACGTGACGTTGGGTGGTGGTCCTAGTGACGGGCACTGCCAGTACCAGCTCCAGACCGGTCTTCGTCGCGGCCTCGTGTTCGGTAAGATCGGCCATACCCCCACTCGTTGTTTCAGTTGCCTAGACGACAAGTTTCGTCTCCGCTTCGGCCCGGCGCCAGACCTCCCCGAATGGCACAATCTACTCCGCCGTGGTGTTAGGATCTTTCATATGGACATGGATGAGATTATCTGTGCTTTGTACGTGCTGTATGTCGATGACTCTAGTGTGACTGGTTCCTATTACCCCGTATTGCCTAGTGTAGGTGTGCGTAGTGTGCCCAGTTCAGATTCCCCTGCTGCGTCAGGCATAGGATCCCCTGCTTTGTTTAGCCTTGGCTCCACCCTCGCTCCTCCGACCCTGCCACCACTACCGCGCTCTCCTTCACCCTGGACTCCGGCACGTCCCGGTGTTTCTTTCGGGACTGCACTACACTTACGCTGCTTGCCGCTCCCGTCGTATTTGCCCTTGCAGACCCTTCCTCAAGTCCTGTAGTCGTCCGTAGCTCCACCACCCTTCCCTGTCCGGCGGTTTCTTCAGGCTCCCTTACAGGCCTGCACATCTCCTCGTTCTCTCGGAACCTAGTTGGTGTCGGCTGCCTCTAGGACCTTGGAGTCACCACTACGTTCCCTGGTCACGAGCGGTACGCTGTCTATACCGAGACCGCCACTGGTGCACCCCTCACCACGTTCCCCCGGGACCCGGTGTCTGGTCTGTTCACGCTGGACACCGCGTCCCCCCTGGTTGGGACGTCTCCCCAGGTGTTTTCGTCCCCCCAGGTTGCTGCGGCTTTCTCGTGTCGGTCGCTTACTCACCCGACGCTTATGTGGCACCACCGTCTAGGTCACCCTGCCCTCACACGTCTTCGTCACATGTCTCAGCACGGTCTTGTCTTAGGTCTCCCTGAGTCATTCCCCGCGTTGCCCTCCTCACCAGCGCTGCCGTGCATGCCCTGCGTCAAGGGACGGCTCCGCCGTGCTCCTCAGTCCTCCTCGTCCTCCCCCACTGCCGCACCGCTGCAGACCCTGCACATGGACGTCTGGGGCCTCGCCCCCGTCTATGGGCTGCGTAGAGAGTGCTACTTCCTCGTGCTTGTCGACGAGTACACGCGCTACACCACGGTGTTTCCCGTGGAGCGGAAGGCCGACGTGCCTGACGTTCTTATCCCATGGCTTGTCTCTGCACGTGTTCACCGAGGTCTCCCTGTGTTGCCTCTTCACTCCGACTGTGGTGGCAAGTTCGCCTCTGGCTGCCTTGGTCGCTTCCGTCGTGCGGAAGCCATCACCCAGACGCACACCCTGCCGGACTCCCAGCAGCAGAATGGGGTCGCCAAGCGACGCATCGGTTTGGTCATGGAGGTGGCTCGTACCTCCATGATCCATGCTGGTGCACCCCATTTTCTATGGCATTTTGCTATTCGCTACGCCGCTCACTAGCTTAACTTGTGGCCGCACCCTCAGCAGCCGCAGGTTTCGCCGACCCTCCTCTGGACTGGGTCCCCCGGTGACGTGTCGGCGTTCCACGTTTGGGGCTGCCTTGCTCACGTTCGTGCCTCTGGCACGGACAAGCTCACTGCCCGCACCGTCCCCTGTGTCTTCCTACGTCACCTCCTGCGCCACGTGTCAACGCATGAAGTCTTCCCGACTTCGACCTACGGGATTGCTGCAGCCGCTCGATCCACCCAGCCTACCCTGGCAACTAGTTGTATACCCCTGTATACTCTCATTCTAGTTAACACTTCTAACAAAAGATGGTATCATGAGTTGGTTAGGTCCCCCTTTCCCACCCGCGCTGCCGCCTTAGGTCCTAGCCTGCCCGTCGCCTAGCGCCTAGCCGCCCCAAGGGCCCCTCTGCCCCGTTGCCTTGCTGGCCTCGTTCCCTAGCGCCTAGCCGCCCGTGGCCCCGTTGCCCCGCCACCTAGCGCCTAGCCGCCCCGCTGGCTCCGCGGCCCCGTCACCTGGCGCCTAGCGTCCCATGGCCCCGTCGCCCCGTCACCCAGCGCCTAGCCGCCCCGCTGGCCCCGCGGCCTTGTCACCTAGCGCCTAGCCGCCCGTGGCCCCGTCGCCCTGTCACCCAGTGCGTAGCCACCCTGCTAGCCCCATGGCCGTGTCGTCCCTAGCGTAGCCGCCCTGCCGCCCCGTCGCCTAGCCGTCCCATCGCCTAGCCACCCCGTCGCCTAGCCGCCCCGTGGCCCCGTCGCCCAGCTGCCCCGCGGCCTAGTCGTCCAGCCGCCCCGTGGCCCCGTTGCCCCCCTGCTCTGTGGCCCCGTCGCCCAGCCTCACCGTAGACCCGCTGCCCCGCTGCTCCGCGGCCCCGTCGCCCAGCCGCCCTGCGGCCTCGTCGCCCTGCTACTTCGCAGCCCCGTCGCCCGGCCGCCCCGTAACCCGTCGCCCCGCTGCTCCGCGGCCCCATCGCCCCGCTGCTCCGCGGCCCCGTCGCCCAGCCGTCCCGCGGCCCCGTCGCCCAGCCGCCCCGCGGCCCTGTCTCCCAGCTGCTCAGCCGCCATGTTTCCTGGTCCCCGCCCGCTTTACCTGCCCTCTCCACCTTCCTGCACCGCGCCCCACCGTGCTGCACCACTCAACAACGCACTGCATCGCGCCCCACCGTACTGCACCACGCCCCACCTTACTGCACCGCACTGCACTGCGCCCCACCGCATTGCACCGCTCTGCACCATGTGGCACTGCACTGCACAGCGCCCCACCGCACTCCACTGCACTGCACCGTACAAAACTCCTCCCCACGGCTCCTCGTCGCACCATCCTGCCCTTCACTGCATGTTCGCGGCTGTAGCGGCCTTCATGGCGGACTCGGTGCTGCGCTGATGCGGAGGGTCAGCCGGTTGAGTTCGACTCATGGCTCGTCGACCTCCGCCGTCACCTCACTGGTCAGTGGCAGGACGGCCACTCCCTGGCCATCCACATTGACTGTACGCTCCCCTGCCCTGACCCCCCTGTCGCTCTCCCCGCTGACCCCATGTCTGTTGACCGTGAGTCCGCCGCCGCTACTGCCCTTGCCTGTGCTATCTGGTTGTCGCGTGACGCTGTCGCTCAGCTCGCGATTAGCCATGCCCTCCCCTTGTCTGAACGCCCCGGCTTTAAGTCAGTCAGGACTGTGCAGGAGTTCCTAGAGGCTGTTGTCGAGCGTTATTCCACCCCGTCCGCTGCCTCTGCCGGCTGCCTGATCCTTCCCATGCTCTTCCCTGATCTCGAGTTTTCCCCCAATGTCGCTGACCTGGCCACGCACCTCTGCACGCTCGACGCTAGCTGGCGCACTGCCTGCACTGAGGCCCAGCTTCGTGTGTTCCAGACCCCTATCTTCTCTACGCTTTACCTGCTTGCCACCTGCCTCCCCGACCGCCTTGCCACTGCCCGCGACGAGTTTCTTAGTCTGCACCTCGCTGACCTCACCCTCTCTGACTTTGTCGACACCCTGTCTGCCATAGAGACCCGTCAGCGCTCTATCGCCCAGTCTAGCGGTACTGCGCCGGTCCCTATCTTTCAGGGTTGTGCCCCCGCTAAGTGCACTTACTCTGAAAGTTCTGCGGCTGTCACTGAGACAGCCCCTGCTGCTGAGACCACTGCCGCTGTGGCCGCAGCGCAGTCCCGTTATGGTAAGGCCCACCGCCCCAAGGCTGGGCGCGGCGGTGGTAGTAGAGGAGGGGGTGGAGGTTGTAGTGGAGGTGGTTCATCCGCTGGCGGTAGTACCGACAAGGGGGCTGTGGCTGGTGCCTCGGA